CCTGGACCATAAACTGGGAAAAAGAGAAAAGATGAGCTACAGCTGTCTATATCAGTGGATAGATTAATAAAAGCAATCAGTGAGGTAGCTACATAATTTCAGCTTGGTGTTAGGGGTCACACAGCTTTATTATCTTCCATTCTAAGGCATGCTGGGCACGACATGGAAGACATTGTTCTTTCAAAATCTGGAACACATAAGAAAAGATTTGAGACAATCAAGAACAAGGGAGATGAAATTAGAGCTGGCTACAAGGATGTTTTAATTGGTAAAAAACTTGTCCTACACTTTGACAGCAAATTGTGCAAAGAAATGAATAATGAAAATAATATTACTGTAAAAAAGGAAAGGATTGCAGTAAGTGTAACAGTTCCTGAAGATGATAATAGTAATGACATCTTGTTAGGGGTTTTTGAAGCCAATTCTTCCAAAGGAAACGAATAGACAAAAAAAATAAAGAATGCATTGGAATATTTTGAAATAGAGGAAAATATTTTCGCCGTTTGTGCAGATACGACAGCTTCAAACACTGGTGCTCATAATGGGGCAATTCAACTTATCAGCAAATATGTTGCTGGAAAGCATATTATGTGGCTTTTATGCCGCAGACACATATATGAGACACATTTATCATTTGGTGCAATCATTGACTGGAAAGACTAAAGCACCAAGGAAGGACCTTTATGCAAGGTTTAAAAAAATTTGGCAAAGAACAGACTACAGAAGATTGTGTGAGTTAGGTTTATTTTACTTGAATGAAGAAGGCAATGAAGTTCCAGACCTCTCACTGCACCAGCCCTCTTGTTTGCCATGAAGCTAGGTTTATGACAGATGGGATATATTTACTGATGCTTGATCTCACCAACAAAACACTTAAGTTGATGACAGAGGAGGAGAGAGAAGATGTTAATAAAGTGGCACCTTATGTTGCTATGTTTTACATTCCTTGGTTTCTCAAGACAACAATCATATCACAGGCACCTTCTAATGATGTTAAGGCTATTAAAGTTGCTGAAAACGTAGAAGAATACAATGAAATCTTAGGTAGAATTCTTAAGAATTCTCTTCTTAGACATACATGGTACTTGGCAGAAGATGTTGTTATTGTGTCACTTGCTGATTCAAATGTAGATAATGAGGAAAAATTCAAATGTAGATAATGAGAGAAATATCCATCTAGTACAGGACTTCTTGGCAGATAATCACATTGAAAGTCAGAGACAACACATTATGCTGGTGGCTAAGTACAACAGGAAGTTGGTTGACAAGCGAATGCTGAAGAAGGATTTAAACAACTTGTGAGCTCTAAGAAATATACTATTTTTTGTTTGTTAATTTTTATCAATCTTTTCCAAATTTATTGAAAATGGGTTGAAAATTAGATATTTATTAAAAAATGAAAATTTACACCTAGCACTTCCCATATGTTTAGAGATCTCAAATTTGGTGGTTATCTTTTACTCAAGGTATATAATTAGGATATATACCATGCTTTTTGATTGCGTAAAAAAACCTATTTTTTGGGACACCCTAATATATATATATATATATATATATATATATATATATATTATATTATATATATATATATATATATATATATATATATATATATATATATATATATATATATATATATATATATATATATATATATATATATATATATATATATATATATATATATATATATATATATAATAAAATAATACTAGAACTAAAAAATTTTTGAAAAAAAATATTTTTAGGGATAGCCCAAGACCCTTAAACATCAGACGGTTCCCTACAATTATCAAAAAAATATTTCTTCAAAAGTATATCATGTTTTGTCTCAAAAGAAGCGAAACTATATAATAACTTCAAAGAATAATCATGATTTTTTAAAAAACCATTACCTAAGATTTCACTGCCTAGAAAATGACATTTTTAAACTAAAAACTAAAAATAAGCATTTTTACAAAAAAAATTTATAATTTTCTTTTTCTCTGTTTTATATATACCAGGGGCCATTCTAGACCATTTTCAGGGGATGTTCTAGACCATTTTCAGGGGCTGTTCTAGACTGCATTTGGGTACCGCCCAAATTAAAATTTGAGGACCTTTTTTTTTTTACATTTTTAAGGCAAATATTGTTGAAAAAAAAAGCGCAGATTTTCCGCTAAAGTGTGCTGAAACGAGGGGGTTTTGCCGCCAAAATGTTTTTCCTAAAATAGGCCCTGTATGTATGTATAAATATATATATATATATATATATATATATATATATATATATATCCTTATAGTGTAGTCGAAAGAGTCGTTTAATGTAAAAAAAGTCTCTTTCAACTACAATTTTAATTACCTCGTCTCTTAAAATGTTTTTGATTGTCGTCGAAATGTCAAAGCAATTAAATTTATGCGGAAGTACATTAAATTTTATTGTTTTTTTAAAAAACCGCAATTATAACAACTAGAAAATTTTTTTTATTAGTGGTGTTTTTGTTTTTGTTTTATTAAAAAACATTTTTAAAACATGCGTAAATGTTGATACATCGACTATCTTATAGCCTGACTCGCAACGGAGTGCTGCTACATCGACTGACAAATAGCCTGACTCGCAACAGAGTGCTGCTACATCGACTGACAAATAGCCTGACTCGCAAGGGAGTGCTGCTACATCGACTGAGGGTTTGGTTTGGGCAGGCAGTCTATCATTTAAAAAAAAAAAAAATTTAATTTTTTAAACTTTTTCTGGTCTGGTTTATTAACGCGCTCTTTAAAACTACAGTTTATGGGAAACTCTTTTTCACTACCATGCAAGAGTATATATATATATATATATATATATATATATATATATATATATATATATATATATATATATATATATATATATATATATATATATATATAGACTGTATATATATATAGACTGTATATATATATATATATATATATATATATATATATATATATATATATATATATATATATATATATATATATATATATATATATATATATATATATATATATATATATATATACAGTCTATATATATATATATATATATATATATATATATATATATATATATATATATATATATGTATATATATGTATATATATGTATATATATGTATATATATGTATATATATGTATATATATGTATATATATGTATATATGTATATATGTATATATGTATATATATATATTATATATATATACATATATACATATATATACATATATATACATATATATACATATATATACATATATATACATATATATACATATATATACATATATATACATATATATATATATATATATATATATATATATATATATATATATATATATATATATATATATATATATATATATATATATATATATATATATATATATATATATATATTCCCCCAACTTATTTTAAACTACATATCTATATTGCATTTAAAAACAAAGCTGAAGTGAAAAATAAAGAAATTCATTCAGGAGAAAAATTGCTCAATTTAAGTTCTAAAAATGTCTTTTCTCAAATATGATTTTGAATTATATGTTAAAATTAAAGATAGAAGTGTCTAGCTTTTATCAAAAAAAACAAAACAAATTGAGAAGCAAGTAGTATTATGACTCCTATGAACAAATAAACAACTTTGCCCAAGATCAGAACATGTCATAGTCTTGCAGTCATGTTTTAGAAAGTCCTAAAACTTTAAAAGAAAACTTTGAAGATGCTAAGGCAACCACTAAGACATATGACAAAGCAGACCTTTTTACTACTTTTACTAACAACTTAAAACAACAAACGAATTTCTTTTTATCATTATTACTAACAACTTGAAACAACCAGCAAATTAATTGAGCAAATAAGTACAAAAAATAAATAATTCTGATTGTTTTTCATGGATGCACCAATTGGAAGTGGAAAAATGTTCACATAATTATTCTATTGCTGAAAAAGGTAGTGGAAGTATTAAATCTGCTATATATATATTTGTACTGGCATAGCAGCAACTCTTCTTGCAAATGGAACTATATTGCATGACTTATTTAAACTTTTAAACATAGACACTTTTTAAGGCAAGTTTTTTTTGCTCTATCAGACATCCAGTATCTTAACATACCTAAAATCTAATACATAGCTTATTATAAAATGTTTGAAACAATAACTTTCCATTTAGGAGAAAAGTCATTTGGTGAGAACTACAGACAAATACTAGTTTTTGTCAAAAGAGAACAACCGGCTGAAACTGTATAAGCATATATAAAATACTCTCTGCAATAGGTTCAGAAACAGAAAACAGAAAATTAGAGCACACGAGAGGAAGGGAGAAATTTTCTAATGGCTAAAAATATATAGCAAAACCATATTATTCGAAGAGAAAGATCCGCTTAGGATGTAAAATTAGATGTAGGATTACCTTCTTATAGTGCCAACTGTAATCACTGACTTTAAAAAAAACTTCACAACTAATGTTATGTAGACCTTTGTTGTTAACTAAAAGCCTACTAAAAGTTAACAACTAAAAGTTAACTACTAAAAGTTAACTACTAAAAGTTAATAACTAAAAGTTAACTACTAAAAGTTAACAACTAAAAGTTAATAACTAAAAGTTAACAACTAAAAGTTAACAACTAAAAGCTAACAACTAAAAGTTAACAACTAAAAGTTAACAACTAAAAGTTAACAACTAAAAGTTAAAAACTAAAAGTTAACAACTAAAAGTTAACAACTAAAAGTTTACAACAAAAAGTTAACTACTAAAAGTAAACTACTAAAAGCACAACTAAATAGATATTACAAGTTTATTTGTATTATATATTTCAAATCGCATAATCAATAAATTGAAATTAGTTAAAATGATTAAAAATTGCTAACACTGACCCTTACTTATTAAATCTAAATAAACCATGTCTAATTTATAATAACAAAAAATTTGTGGTTGCTTTTGCTAGTATATTAAATTGGTTGCTAGTATATTTAATTATTTTAATAAAAAAAGTAACCTTTAATAAGTCAACTTTTGATTTGCTTGAACATGTTCCAATAACATAACACCCAGCTTGTTTTGCTAACTGAACCTAATTTAACTAAAAAATTTACTTATTTCACATCATTTAATATTGTTTAACCATTAAGTTTTGTACTTTTCATTACAATTTATCAAAAAAGAAAAAAAAAATTTACTTACTGCAATATGTCCAGTCCCTCCAGCAGCAGCTAAATATTAAACATATTTACCATAAAAAAACTTGTATTAACAGAATATATTTAAATTAGGATCAAAAACATGATTTTATGCTAATAATAGAGAAATTAAGGGACACAAAAATTATTAGACGTAACAATATGTATATATATATATATATATATATATATATATATATATATATATATATATATAAATATATATATATATATATTACTGAAGTTGGAAATCACATACTTCGAGTCAGGTCAGGTTTATCCTGCTACTGGTAACATGTAACCCAGTACAATCTGCTTCATGTCCTGCTGCCTTGTAGGATATGCCTTTTTAGGCAAAGGCTAGGAGATGCAAACTCCGACATAAAACACCCCCTGCTTTGGGGCTCTTGGTTGAGTAAAGGCTAGAGATAGTGTCTCGATAAAAATACTCATCTTGGGCAGATGTTACATGCATCCGGCTGCTGTCTTGTAGAAGGCCTCCTAGGCAAAGACTTAAGGGGTAAACAGATTCTATCTGTTGACCAGCCTCGCACCCCTTCGTCATCTATTAGGCTGGCGCAGATGTATTTTTAATACATTGTTTCCAGTTTAGGATGTTGAACGCTGGATCTTCTTGACTCGATTCATGGGTTTTGCTTGTGTCTCTGTTTTTATGACTAGGCAACTCATTCTATTATCTCCAAATGAGGGTACAGCTCTAAAACTCAGTTTTATGGTTCTGAGGCCGGCTGGTAGTCAGGTTTCCCGAACTCTGTGGTAGCTCTCAGAGAGGCTGATTCCATCAACAGCTGAAAAATATCAGAGTACTAACAGTGCCATGTTGCGCATGGATGGTGTCCCTGTTTGTACTTTTGGTGTGCATTGCCAAGGCCATATTGCAGCCCTTTGTTACGGCTTAGGGTTTATTAGTGGAAATGAGGCAATTGCTTGAGCTATAGAACAGTGTACTGAGTACTACCAATGTTCTTTAACAAATTTAAAAATGAATAAAGTAACAAAAACTATAAAACACAAAAAACCACAGTCATCACCAAGTTCGCTAAACCTATCATTCACCAATATTCGTGGTCTTCGAAGTAACTTTTCTTCTATTGAGTCTTATCTCTTGCAAAGTTCAACAAACCTGCTTCCTCTTTGTGAGATTAATTTGAGTTCAGCTGTCTCATCTTGTGATCTTAGTGTTGATGGTTATCTTCCTTTAATTCGTAAAGACTCCAATAGTCACATGCTTGGCCTGGGCATTTACATTCGTAAGAATTCACCCATTTGTCGGGAAACTAGGTTTGAATCCAACAGACTACTCTTTTATGTGCTTTCATTTAGCACCACTTCACTCTATCACCTTTCTCTTTGTTCTATATCGCTCTCCCTCATCCCAAGACTGCACTCTTCTTGATGTTATTTCTGATTATATTGACCAAGCCCTCATTCTTTATCTATCAGCCAATATTGTTGTTGTCGGTGACTTTAATGTTCATCACACTGAATGGCTTGGCTCTAGTGTCAGTGACTCTCAAGGCATTAAGGCCCACAACTTTTGTCTTTCTCAATCCCTAACTCAAATAGTCAACTTTCCAACTCGCTTTCCAGACAACCCGAATCATTTACCTTCTCTACTTGACTTATGTCTTGTTTCTGATCCTAGTCAGTGTTCAGTTTCTTCACACTCACCCTTAGGTGCGTCTGATCATGGTTTGGTCTCTCTAAAACTATTATCTCATTCTTCTTTACCATTAGAATCCCCCTATCATCGTACATCTTACAACTACCTTAAAGCTGACTGGGACTCTTTTCGTGACTTTCTTCGTGATGGCCCCTGGGTAGAAATCTTTCGTCTCCCTGTTTACAAATGTGCTTCTTACATAACTTTGTGGATTCAGGCTGGCATGGAATCCTTTATTCCCTCTCCACGATTCCAGGTCAAGCCTCACTCTTCTCCATGGTTTTCCTCACATTGTGCTGCTGCAATTGCCAATCGAAACCATTACTTCCATATCTATCAGCAAAACTGTTCTCCAGAAAACAGACGTCTCTTTATTACTGCTAGGAACCATTGTAAAAAGGTTTTGTCTAACGCCAAAACCCGCTATTCTCAGATCATGAAATCTTGTATTTTATCACAAAAATTAGGCTCTCGTGACTTCTGGAGAATCTTTAATAGTATCAATAATAAGGGCAAGTCTGTAATTCCACCTCTTTTGTACGGTTCAGACTTTGTCACCTCACCTAAAGACAAAGCTGAATTGTTTGCCAAGAACTTTTCATCAATATCATCTCTTGATGCCACTAGTTGCGTTTTACCTGATATACCCGTCAAACAGGTTGATCCATTGCTCGACATTCGTATCACTCCAGCTTCTGTATCTAAAGTGATTTCCCGCTAAGACTCTTCTACAGCTTGCAGCCCGGACAACATACCTGTTATAGTCTTGCAGAAGTGTTCTCCTGAGCTGTCATCTATCTTTTCAAAACTATTCAACAAGTGCTTATCAGAGTCTTGTTTTCCAGCCTGCTGGAAAGCAGCATCTGTTATCCCTATTTTTAAAAATTCTGGAGAGCGATCTGACTCATCTAACTACCGTCCCATTAGTCTTCTTCCTATCATAAGCAAGGTTTTTGAATCTTTAATTAACAAACACTTAATCTCTCATCTCGAATCTCATAACCTATTTTCTGATCATCAGTATGGATTTCGATCTTCTCGTTCTACGGCTGATTTGCTATCAGTAATAACCGATAGGTTTTATCGCGCATTAGATAAAGGTGGAGAGGTTAAGGCCATTGCTCTTGACATTTCTAAAGCGCTTGATAAAGTTTAGCATGCTGGTCTCCTCCATAAGCTTTCTTCTTATGGTGTATCTGGAAACATCTTTAAGATTATTAAATCCTTCCTTTCCAATCGTAGTATAAAAGTTGTCTTTGATGGACAGCACTCTTCTTCTTATTCTGTAACCTCAGGGGTTCCCCAAGGTTTTTGGCCCTATACTCTTTTTAATTTACATTAACGATCTTCCAGATATTCTCACATCTAAGGTGGCATTGTTCGTTGATGATATTACCATTTATTCTTGTCACGATAAGAAGCCAACTCCCTCTGATTGCTTGCAGGGGGCATCTGAGCTCGAAAAGGATCTCACTTCTGCTACATCATGGGGCTCGCAGTGGCTGGTGAACTTTAATTCAGATAAAACTCAATTTTTTTCGGCTAATCGTTATCGCAATAATTTAGACCTTCCTATATTTACGAACGGTAATGTACTCGATGAGTCTCCTACCCTTCATCTTCTAGGATTAATTCTTACTTCTGATCTTTCTTGGAAATATCAAATCCGTTGCAAAATTAGCATCTGCTAAAGTTGCTTCTCTTTATCGAGCTCGTCACTTTCTTACTCTGGATTCTATTCTCTATCTCTATAAATCTCAAATCCGGCCTTGTATGGGATACTGTTGCCATATCTGGGGCGGATCTTCTAATGATGCCCTTTCTCTTTTAGACAAGGTGCAAAAACGCATTGTAAACATAGTTGGAGCTGCTCTTGCAGCCAACCTTCAACCTCTGTCGCATCGTCGTAATGTTGCTTCTCTTTCTCTTTTCTACAAATACTATAATGGGCACTGCTCTAAAGAGCTAGCGTCTCTTGTGCCATCTACTAAAATTCATTCTCGTGTTACTCGTCATTCAATTAAGTCTCATCCTTTTTCTGTTACTGTTCTTAAGTGCTCCAAAAACTCTTATTCGTGTAGTTTTTTTCCTCGAACATCAGTTCTTTGGAATTCGCTTCCTTTATCTTGCTTTCCTGATTCATATAGTTTGCAATATTTTAAGTCGTCTGTCAATCGTTATCTTGCTCTACAATCTTCATCTTTTCTCTTCCAGTAACTTCCAACACTAATTAGTGGTTGTTTGCAACCTTGTTGGAAGCGAAGATAATTAAAATATATATATATATATATATATATATATATATATATATATATATATATATATATATATATATATATATATAATATATATATATATATATACGATCCCTATTGTGGCTTCATTAAAGGTCATTTTTTACAATAAAATATATAAACTCATGATAAATGCTTGTGATAAAATATATAAAAAATGTGTAAAACTACGTTTCATAATTGATATAACTGTTAATATATAAATTCGTTTTGTAAAATAAATTTAGAACAAATAAAATTAAAAGCAAATAAAAGAAATAAATTGTGCAAGTTTATATCTTTTTACAAAATAAGAAAAAGAAAATTTAACTCTGTAGATAATAAAAAACGCTTTGATTCATATTTAAACTGTTCAAGTGTATTACATAACTTTAATTACGTTCACTCAAGATACTTTGATCAAAAAAATAATATATCTGTAATATATGTAAACAATATATATAAAAAAGTAATATATATTTTATGAAAAAATAATATATCTCTTAAAAAAGATCTAAACAAAGTAATTAATAGCAAAATTGCAAACGTTTCAAATAAAACCATTTATGAACAAGCAAATTTTGATGAAGCAAAAAATTTATGTCACAAGCTAAATAATTTTTTATATATATATATATATATATATATATATATATATATATATATATATATATATATATATATATATATATATATATATATATATATATATATATACAGGGTTTATTCTAGAAAAAAAATTTGGGCAGTGGTACCCCCTTGTTTCGGCGGACTTTGATTTGAAAAGTGAAGACGCTCTTGCCCTAATAGAGAATCATTTTGCTTTCTTCACGCAAATATTGAATAGTTTAAAACTAAGGATTCTGGGATCGAAATGCGGGCAAACAAACTCAAAAATGTATAACAACATCAATACAATTTATTCAATTTTCAATAAAAACTCTCAACAACTTTTTGAATTCTTGTTTAGAGTTTGTGAATTTTTAAGAGCTGATTACAATGAAAATTTTCACTTTGATCAGTTAGTTTGAATTTGACATTTTAAAGCCTGATTTTAATCCAAGTTTTTATTTTTATCAAGAGATTATTTGGCAACAGGTGAAATTTAATAAACAAATGAATTTAATGAATCTTAATACGCTCAGGGGTGGGTATATTTTCCAAATAAACAAGCTATCCCTCTGTCTGTTAAGCACCTGAGAGTAAATGTTTAACAAAAAGAATTTGACAAGGTCAGAAAAAAATATTAACGAGCTTTCTTAAAATTGACTGTTAAAATGATATTTTTAAAATAAAAATATATTTAGTTAATATGTATAATTTTTTTTTTTTTGCGACTAAATAAAATTTACATATTTACAAAAATGATTATGAATAAGAATAAGAATATGAAATATTATTTTAATCCATAATTTTTAAAAAAAGCTTAAATTCAAAAAAAAATTTTAAAATACTTTTTAATCTTTTCAAGTTTACTTTTTTTTTATATTTTTATAATTTACTCAAATAATCTCTATATAAACAGAAAAAAAAAAGGTGAAAAAATTGCAATGAGCCAAAAAAAATTATAAAATGATTAAAAAACTATATTTGTAAAAATTTTATTTAAATTTTTACAAGATATTCAAGCACACAAGCATTGTTAAAAATTTACCAATTATGAAATAACATAAACTAATTAAGATGCTAGTGCCAATAAATAAAGCATTATTCCATCAAATAAACCAAACTTTTGATTAAATTGTTTTTTTTTATTTAATTTTTTTTTTTTTTGAATACATGTTCATTGAATTGTTCATAATAAACTCATGCTTTTTACCTTTCTTATTGATTGCATGTCCTTTTCTATGGTTAACTTTTCACACCCTTAAAAATAGTGCAATATATATATAGTTCTTATTTCTAAAAAAGCAAGTCTTAAGTTGTAAATTCTTTTATAGACAAAAATAGAATACTGAAAACTAATATACTCCATAATTCCACACTTCTGAAATATAGCCACATAACTAATGCTACACTGATATAGAATTTGATACGTGTAAAAAGATTACTTTTTTACAGACAACTATTAGGATTTAGTTTTGAGCTGAAATATGAAAGTTGATAATTGCAAAGTCCAAGAAAGTAATAAAGTAGAAAATTGAGATTCATTAAAACGATAAACAGTATTAAGCAATAAACAGTATTAAAATTAACAATGCTGCGTTCTGTATTTATATCAGAACTAATGGAGAGTTAACTAACTTCTTTGTAAAAACGATTACACATATTATTTGTATTTATGTTAATATTATCTTCATTCTTTTGTCAAGAAAATCTACAAGATGTAAAACTTTTTGTTTAAATATATAATTTTGAAAGCTTTATTTTTCTTTTATCCTTTTTCCAATTTTTTCTTTGAATCTTTAATTTTTCCTACTTTTTAATGTAAATTAAAAAGTAGGAAAATTTTAGATTCAAAGAAAAAATTGGAAAATATTTTGCTGGCAAACTTTTAAGGTAGCAAGACATTGATGAGAATCCTACCAACATGCAAAGAAACTAGATACCCACCCAGAAAAAAATGTGTATAAAAGTGCAATAAAACGTTATTGCACTTTTATACACATTTTTTTCTGGGTGGGTATCTTTGCATTTTGTTGTTTGTCCGCATTTTGATCCCAAAAAGCTTTATATATATATATATATATATATATATATATATATATATATATATATATATATATATATATATATATATATATATATATATATATATATATATATATATATATATATATATATATATATATATATATATATATATATATATACATATATATATATATATATATATATATATAATCTAAGCTGGCTCAGCCCTCCTCCCCCAAGGTCCCGAGCCAGCTTACAGCAATCCTGTATGAAAATACTTATGAAAATCACATGCATCGAATTAACAAAAGAAAAAAAAAATTAATGAAATACATAATCGAAAGTTTAATTAGGTATAAATAATGCTATAAATAAACTTTAGATTTAAAAAAATAAACAAAAAAACTAGATAATAGTTATAATAGTATATATTATTGTTATTAAATGAACCAACAAAAAATGAAAGGTTGAAAAGTTAAATTGAAAGAAAAGATATAATTATTTTAAGATTTTTACTCGATTACATCGACTTAAAGTCGATTAGTAGGAAGTAGTCAATAAAATCAACTATTAGATTTTTAAAAGTCAACTAATTTTGACTTCGACTAGTCAATTTTAAATTGATTTAGTCAAAGTCGATAACAAATCTAATATATATATATATATATATATATATATATATATATATATATATATATATATATATATATATATATATATAATACTTACCTGTTATTAAAACATTTTCTTTGGGTTTCAAATGACCAAACTGAAGTAAAAAGCAAATGTTTGAAAATATCTCACGCAGTGAAAATTAAATAAGTTATACAAATATTTTAAATTCTATTTGACGCTAGTAAGACTTTAAAAGTAAAACCTGTTCAAATGCAATAGAAGCAGTAAGTCCACTAATAAGTAACGGAATGTACTCAGGTTTGACAGATGGCAAAGGTAAACAGTATTTTGCTGGAAGTATCTGTAATGCAATTCAACTAAAACTTATTAAAAATTTTTTTGAAAAATTTCATAAAATAAAATTTATGTTTAAACAAATTCATATTCACAAAAAAAAAAAGATTGCTAAAAACTTGACTGTTACAAAACTATTAGACAATGTCAGGCCTTGTGATGAATAAAAACTGCGCGATGCATAAACACGACGTGATTTTTGACGTCATTAAATTCTTTTTATTTGCTTTTCATATTTATCGACATTAACAACACCAATTTACTTAATTACCACAAAACTACTTTAAATTATTAATGTAGAAATGTTATTATTTAAAAATGTTTTGGAATGTTTCATTTTTTAAAATGTAAAAACATTGGTTTATTTTCTTGACATTTGACACGTTTTGTCTACTAAACGAATAAAAAACATTATAACTAAACATTTAAAAAAGATTGTAAAATATGCTAATATTTGATTTTCTCAAATATGTAATTTAAAGTTTTTCAAATAATTATTTTTTCTTTTTAAAAAGTCAGCGAGTAATAAACTGGAAATTTTATTATTGTACGATTAAAAACTGTGCAATAGCTAATATTTTTACTAGCGATTTTAAATAATATTTTTTTATTTATTTATTTTTATTTACCTTTATAAAGCAGTTGATAAGCACAATCCACTCGTAATACTAAAAAACTTTAACGAACGTATTGAATAGATTTTTAATGTTTACAAGAAAGTTTATTTTTGGTAAAATAAATTAAAATGTTAGAATAAAAATCTTATAGGTATAAAAGACATATTTCAGCAAAAAAAATTTTCTTAAAAATTATTTGAAAAACTATTGACGTTCTATTTTTCAGCAGCTGTTATTGAGCACGCTTTGTTGAGTTTCGGTAACTTTTAACAAAAAAGCGATTGTTATTATTTAAGTAATTTTTTTCGAGTTACATTTTATAAAAATTTAATAGCTGTACTTTTTTATTGAATCAAGTAGAATACGTTTTATATTAATCTTTTTATTTTTTTTTATTTGCGCTTACCAATTTTTAAAATGTTTCCTCGAAATTACTCTCAAATACTTTAAATAAGTTTAACAGTTAATAAATATTTTATTCTATGGATCTATTAATCTATGGAATAATTTTAAAACCTAATAAACCCCCGTAAAATAAATATAAGTTAAAAATCTAAAACTAAAAGAAAGTATTTTTGTTCAATTTTATCGACAACTTTGCTATTGCTGAATAATTTTATTAAAATGTTAGCTTAAAAAAATTTAAACTTTTTTTTAATCTGAATTTTTTCTACTTGAATAATGAGCATATTTAATTTTTTTGTTATTCAAACTTTTATCAACTGCGTGCGGTTTTTAAAATACTTTATTAAATGTTGAAATAATCGTAAATTACTTCTAAAATTCCACTCAAAAATATCTTTAAATATAATCAAACAAAAAATTTTTTGCTCAATGCAAATAGCCCTAGCTACACGCAAAACCGCTCTTGGACGTCGTAAAATTCACATCGCCCGACACTTTATCGCAAGGCCTGCAATGTTATTTTACACACAATGTCTGACTTCCAAATGTTTTCCAAAAAACCTGGGGAAAAAAAAATCTATACTGTTATCATCATCATTTTAGTGTTTTTGTTTCTTTGCCTGCAATGGTTGGAAACTAAAACTATTCTTGCTGAGAAAGCAACTTTATTTTTATCTAGAAAATGCTAGAAAAAAAGATTTTTTTAATCAAGATTCGCAATGATTGTTTGATTATAAAACTTATTAATTTCATAACAAAAAAAAATTTAAACCTCAAAAATTATTTTGTTAACTGTAATTAAAACATCTGAGTAGTTCATAAAAAATCAGATCATGAACATATTTTTTTGGCCCAATAGGACAATGGAATCTTTATGAATCAAATTGTTTTAATACAGTTTTGAAAATATAAAATTATTTACAAAATGAATTTCTTAATAAAATAATTTTTATAAAACTTTTTCTTTGCCTAAAATTACTATGCATACAAACATACTTACAACATACTCAGCAAAACTTCCAGTAAATATATACCCAACTGATTGCCCTATCATATTCTGTGGTATGCCACTGCCAACACCTTCAATCATGCCTAAACCCTAATAAATTTTCAAAAGGTTAAACCAATTGCCCGTAACATGATACAGCTTTGTCAATTAATATATATAATATATATGTGATAAAAAGCTATACACAATTGTTGAATAAGAAAATATTTTATCTTTCTATAAGATAATGATCACAAATGTCAAAAATAAGTGTATTTCATCTAGAAGCAGAATGAATGCTAGCTCATAGTTCAGATCTTAATCTAATTGATGAGCTGATAGTTACTTTAGATCAAAAGCTAACACATCAAAAATAAAGCTGCAGATCATGCTTTATGAAACTTGAGTTCAATATGATGAAACTGAAAAGTTAATTGAATTGATTTCAAAATTAACTAAAAGGAGTCATCGAAGTTAATGGTAGCTTGATACTAAAAAGTTATAAAATAAATGGCACTGATAAAAAAAATGCGGTAGTGGTGTAGTGGTAGAACACTCGCTTCATAAGCGAGAGGTTCCGAGTTTGATTCCTACTATGTCCCTGGTAGTACTGCGCTAAACTTGTTTCTTCCTGCAGCGGCCTTGTTTGTCAAGGTTTTTCGGCCTATATATATATATATATATATATATATATATATATATATATATATATATATATATATATATATATATATATATATATATATATATATATATATATATATATATATATATATATATATATAAGGGGTGCAATTGCACGCCATTATATGACCAAACAAACAGTAATTTTGTTTTGACAATTAGACCACAGCTGATAACATGTTTTTAGAAATTGAGCGTATTGGTAATGCGCTGAAAAAAAATTTATAGACTAAAAATTAACTTAAAAATTAACTAAAAAAAAAAGAAATCTTAACAAAAGAGAAAATAAAAAAAAACTTAACTATAACACAAAAAATAAAAAATGTAACATAAAACAAAATGCACAAAAATAAAACACTAAGATTGTTTAAATCAAGTTTTTAACTGCATTTGGAATAATAAACTTCAAATTTTTTATCACTCTCTTTTTTATTATATTATAGGAAATCTTTTAAAAATAAAGTAACAACTTATTTCTAATGATTTTCTAATAATTATGCACATTTTATTTGTTATAGTTTTTTTCTACTAATTAGAATATAGTAAGTTTCCATATAAACCCTATTAAATAATTACGCATTTTTAATTTAAAAAAATGATACTTAAATCATTTAAACCATTTCAACAAACCATTGTATGTTGTTTTTTTTAAAATACTTTAAGTGCTGTAAGCCACATGACCGTGGCTTTAAACTGATCTTTAAAACTAGGACCTTTAACACTAAAATATCAGTTTAGGTAATTTCTAAATGATACCACTTAGTAGTGCATAATTTTTTTTTTCTTTTGATATATAATTTTTATACGTTTTACTGTGAAAATGAGTGATTATTAGATTTTTTATAATTTTTCTTTCTTTAGTTTAATTTTTCTGAAAACTTTTTTTAGTTAAATTTTTTTTAGTTTTAATTGTTTTTGTACAAAGTTTATTAGAATGTCGCTGTCTAAAAAAATTGTTTAAAAAATCATAATATTTTTTTAAACATTTGTTATACACTATTTGTTATGCACACTTATATAATTGATAAAAAATAAATAATAAATAATATAAAACTTTCTTTGATATTTTAAACACAAAAATTATTATAAGTAACTTGTTTGTGTAAATTGTTTTCTTGTTGTCTTTATTTAAAAGCGATTTCCTAATATAAAAACATTAGTAAAGATAAAAGTTTCAATGTTATTTATTTTTAACGCATAATTCTAATGCATAAATATAGTATAAAACATTTTTATTCAATGTGTTTTTAAAATGTTAACAGCCATGGTCAAAACGTCAAAACAAAGTGTTGTGGTCATATAATGGCATCAATTGCATGCATTCCTGACTAAGCCTGCATACACAGAGGAAGAGATCTTATTTGACCCAACAAACAGCAATAGTGGTACACAAAAGGGAGTTGCGAAGCTAATGGAAGCACATCAAGATAAAATATTACTCTACCTAGTTTGTCATCATCATATTTTAGAACTTGTTGTTGTTGCTTAATAGAAATTGTTGTTTGGAAACATTTAGGCCCTGAAAACAAACAGCTTAAAAAAATTAAAGATACAATGTGAAAATTGTATAAAAAGCAACCAATTCAAGTACTGGAAACTAAAAACAATCGGTTGCTGAGCATAAAACATAAACTTGTTGTAAAGTTTACAAATATGAAATATATTTAATATATAAATATATCTTGAAAATGATTTAACAGTTTTTTTAAGAGATAATTATTGTGAATCTGCTGAAAACGCTCTGATAATCTTGGGTGAACGCTGGATGGCCAGCATATATACTGGAAAGAAATATATGTTTTCTAAAAAGAATCAATATAATGATGATATGGTTGCAAAACTTATGAGAATCAATAGATTTTTAGCTCATATTTACATTCCTGTATGGATGAAAGCATCATGTGGAGCAGATGCTTTCAAACTGAAAAAATACACTTTATCACTTCTTAAATTACTAATTTTGTTTATATATATAATATATATATATATATATATATATATATATATATATATATATATATATATACATATATATATATATATATATATATATATATATATATATATAAATACATATATATATATATATATATATATATATATATATATATATATATATATATATATATACATATATATATATACACATATATATATATATATATATATATATATATATATATTATATATATATATATATATATATATATATATATATATATATATATATATATATAATAGGGTAATAAAATAATAATATGTTTTTATTTAGATTTTTTTTTGTGACACAAACTTTGTCTTGTCATGATGTTTGAATTATTTTCTTTTCAATCATTAGGTCTACCTTCTAAAGACATGAGAGGACGTCATAAAAACAGAAAGCATGCTTTTTCTGTTGTAAACACTAATATGATAGTGCAGCATATCAAATCATTTCGAGGACAATCTTCTCATTACGCTCAAACAAAATCTACTAGACTTTACCTTCCAGAAGACTTTAATATTTTTAAAATGTACTGTATGTTTAAAGAAAAGTATCCTTTAGAAAAGTGTTCCTATAAAAGGTATCGTAAAATTTTTAATTCAAAGTTTAACATTTCATTTGGATATCCTAGAAAAGACACTTGCTCATTTTGTGATTTAACAAAGAAAAAGATAGTTGCAATAGATTGTCAAGTACCTTGTGACTCTAATGCTGCTAATGATTTTTTATGTAAGAAAAATGCTTTAAATGCATCTCTTGAACTTCATCAGAGAAAGGCTGAAATGTTTTACCAAAGAAAAAGATATGCACATTTACAAGCTCAGCAAACTTTGGAATGTTTAGCAATCTGCTTTGATTTTCAAAAAAAAACTGAAATGCCCAAACATTTCAACTCAAGATGTATATTACTCCAGGCAACTGTGATTTAACTCTTTCAACATTAATATTCTTTCTTCTCAAAAAGTATATATTTATTGCTAGGATGAAACCGCAGGCAACAAAGGCTCAGATGATATATGCTCTATGCTTCATGATTTTTTTATGTTTCATTTACCTGAAAATGTAAAGCATATCAAATTGTTTTGTGATTCCTGTGCAGGACAAAATAAAAACTGGACAGTTTTGGGTTTCTTTTACTATCTAGTTCATATAGTAGAAAGATTTGACAGCGTAACTCTTTCATATCCTATTAGAGGTCATTCCTACATGGAATGTGACAGAGATATGGCTATTATTAATTAAAAGTTTCCAGCAGAAACACCAGAAGATTGGAGGAGTGTTTTTCAGGCATCTCGAAAAATACCAGAGCCATTTAACATTATAAACATGACGCAAGAAAAGTTTTTGAAGTTTACAGAGTTTTTAAAGCCATACTTTTTAGTTGTTTGTCCATTTAAGACACGTCCCTTCAGAGAAGTTGAAATATCAAAGGCTCATTCTAACCTAATTATATATTGGGAAAACTGGAGCGGTATGTTTAGTCTTATGCGTGTCACATCCCTTAGGTCTGAATCATGTTCTCGCTCAATAAGAGGGAAAAGAATAACCCGATCTAAACATGTCTTTGAAGTGCCTGATAAGCCAAAACAAGCATATATAGACCCGTTGCCACTTTCTTGTAAAAAATTCAAAGACTTACTAAAGCTAAAAAAAATTGTTAGTGAACAAAATAAGTCTTTCTATGATCAGTTGCCAGTTGATAACCTACTTTTCCAGGATTCTGAACCAGAGCAAATTTCTGACTCAGAGTAAGAGAATGAAAAAAGAATAATTATTTAGAAAAATGTATTTCTGTATGTTTATATATATACTTTGTTGAAAATAAAAATAATGTTTATTTTTAATAAGGGTTTATTTGCAACAGGGTGTTTGTATGGGCTATAGAATTGTAATATTATAATACTATAACTTTTTATAAAGTCTTTAAAAATGTGAAGAGTTATTTGATTTATTTTCCACTCCTATCTACTTTTAATCAAATAAGTGCTCCAAAAGCTAACAAGGTAAGGTAGTTTACAAGATGCTGAATTTACAACGGAAAAATCACAGATGTCCAAATTGAGTGTCTTGACTTCGAATGGATATTGTGAACAAACATTACTTGTAATTAACGGCAAATAAAAAAATGCTTTGCAATGAATAGATTTGACTAAACTGATATCTGATACTTCTAAACACAAAATTTCATTTTTCTCAAAATGAGAAGAATGTGACATCTGTGGTTTTACCCATGTGGTAAAAATACAGTAAAAGCAAAAAATTAATGTTTTCTGATTCATTAAGCCAAATGATGACTGAAAAAATACTACTTTATTTAAAAAATCAAATTTTTCCTGTTTTTTATTTTATTTAATTTGAAATTATAGATATTAATGTGAAAAACAGCTTTTTTCTTTATTTAAGTTATCTTTTTCTAATTTTTTTCTTTTTACCTTGCATTTTTTTTTTTTTTTTTTTGTTGTTTTTTTTGTTGTTTTTTTGTTTTATCTTTTTATTTTTGTTTTTTTTTCCCTTTACTTTCTTTTCTGTAAACTTTGCTTAAAAGCAAAGTTTATATAGGAAAAAAAAAAAAAAAAAAAGATTTTTTTTTTCTATAAAACTATTTATTTTAATAAAATATCGCCATTCTGGAAACCACTTCAAAAAAAATTATAAGGCCTAAAATTTTATCATTCATACATTGGTCTTAAAAAGAAAAGGTAAATTACATAAAAATACATGATAGGAAAATTACATAAATTACATAAAACAGGGTTATTAAAAAATACAAATTAAAAAATAAAAAATTACCTCAAGACCAACATCAAAAGGAACTTTGTTTGCTCCATATCTTCCCGCTGTAACATTGATATCAGTGGCATTGATGCCAGTGTAACTAAAAAAGTGTGAAAAAAAAAAATTAAGGGGTATTATTTATATACACATAAATATATACACTATGTCAAATATCATTGTGTATTTTACAAAAAGAATGCTCAACGTTTTTAAAGATCAGAGCAGTAATAAATTAGTAAAAAAACACTTACCTACCTCGAGTATCTACTGTCAGCTTCTTGTTTAGCAGGATATATATATATATATATATATATATATATATATATATATATATATATATATATATATATATATATATATATATATATATATATATATACACACACACACAGGCAATTCTACAAATACAATGAGGGGAGGGGGTGAATCCTTAAAAAGTACTGACTGCCTCCTAATATATATAACTAAGTAAATAATAATAATAAATAGTTATTATGATTTTTATTTTAGTAATAAATAACTAAAAAAAAAATAAAAAAATAAAAAAAAAACTTAACTAAAATTAATAATAAACGATAAGATAATTATGTTTGAAATAAATAACTTTGAATCTTTACTGTTTTTATAATGTAAAATTAGTAGTGTCCCGTCTGCTTTGTTACAGCACTATAAAAAATTATATTAATAGTAAAAAAATAATAATAATAAATAGTACTAATTGACAAAAAAATGTAAATAAACACTTTTGTTATTATAAAAAACTTGATCGCGCATTAGTGGTATTAAAAAAAAAAAACGATTAAACTTAACGAGGAAACTATTCTTAATAATGTTTTTTTTTTAGGGGGAGGGGAGGGGGAGATAATGCGTTTCAAAAAAAATGACGACTGACTTACAAACAAAAACTTTAAAACTTAACTTAAAAAAAACTTAAAAACAAAACTTTAAATTAAAATTTATCAGTAAATGTTACTTTATTTGAAAGCATTTTGCTAATATAAAAATATTAGTAAATATATAAGTTTCAAAGTTATTTATTTTTGACGTAATTAAAAATTATTTTTTTTAGCGCATTTTCTATTATATATAATATATATATTTTATATATATATATATATATATACATATCATGGTGCTTTTGGGGTAGAGCGGAAGGTTTTTTTGTCACAGCACTTCGCAGTAGTGTGTAAAAGCTGCACATGTATATGATTAGTTACTGTACTAAATTTGACGCCCCACATAAAAAATTTTCTGTTCTTGCAATGAACCTGAAATTACACCAAAATCAACAAACCTGCTGTTTTTTCATTATTTAACTAAAATTTATAAAAACATAAACTTGAACTTTTATACACTTACATATAAATTATATAATAGCATACTATTATAAGAACTAAAAAATAAGTATATAAAATTAAGAGTACAAAAATGGTTGTTTTGTAAGGTCTTTAGGTTTTGTACTGTTTTTTGTACCTAAATTCAGGCATGCTTTTATCACTCTTCGTACGCCGAGGGTTCTGATATGTGTTCTCATATCAGTTAGCATTGCAAGCAGAATATTTTCTGGAGATGCAAAGTAAGCATTCCAAAATATTAATGGGTCAATGACGTTGCAGTTAACTTGATCCAAGTATCTGAATTAAGTTGTAAAGATGCCATGCTCCATCCTTAATTAAATGATGAATTTTGATGCAAAACCAAGAAGGTGAATACACTCTGAGAACAAACTCTACTATGGCATGTAAATTATTTGATGGTTCTGCAGTGGAAACATACAATCTTAATGTTCTGTTGGCTGTTGTCAACCAGAGTGATATAGTTAGGGGGTCTGGATCTCGCTTAGCAAGACCTGGAGGACATATGCCTGAGCTAATGGCGAGAGCAATATCCCTCAAATACCTTTGGTCCTAACTCAAATTTGGTATATTAACTGATAGCAAGGTGCAGTTAACTGGCTTAAATGTTACCACTGGAAACAGTTCACATGCCTTTAAATATTTTCCAATGCAACCGGTGTAGGAAGTAGGTCTGGAGGTAGAACCATCAAGGAGTTCAAACAAGTGGCAAAGAGGCAATTTGTTGAAATGCAGTTGACAAACAACCTACTGCACCGATCTCATAATCTTCAGTTCAAGACGACGCAGTACCCTATTATGAACTCCAGTATTTACAAACGTTTTGTCACACCCAAAAACAAGAACATTGTTTAAACCTTCACTCACTTCTTGTTGATATAGTTGTAAATACTTGCAGCAATGGATAGACATGTTCCTGATGCTGGTGTAACATGGCCAATGTAGCTAGATCCTGGTTCTTTCATCAAGGAATAGTGCTCCTTTATAATTTCTATTTGACAGTATTTATCCTTCTCTTTTTCTGTTGACAACGTTTTGTCACATCAGCCGTCGAAGTAAAGACCTAATAAATGATCCTTATCAGTGTTTGAACTTTCACTTTTAAATTCTTCCATGGTTCGATACTTCTCTCTAGCAGTTTTATTCTTATCAATCACTAAAGATGTATCCAATTTACTGACTAGGCCTACATCGTGTAAAAGGCTAGTAGCTATGGCAGCCATGGCTTGAAGCGATAACCCATATCTTTGACTTATTAAGGCAGTGTTAGTAAGTTTCATATGCATTTGCAAAAAGGATGACAGTCTGGGATTATAGTCGTAGTTATCAGGTTTAGGAATTTTAATTTTAATTAATTTGCACAGAAGTTACTTATGTGTAGTGAGTTTTCCGCTCTACCCTGAGAGCATTATGAAAAATTTTTCAAGCCCCCCTAATATATATATATATATATATATATATATATATATATATATATATATATATATATATATATATATATATATATATATATATATATATATATATATATATATATATATATATATATATATATATATATATATATATATATATATATATATATATATATATATATATATATATATATATATTAGTCGTAGTTATCAGGTTTAGGAAGTTTATAAATTCCTCATTTTATCCATTGTCTGGCAATCTTTACAGAAACTTGATGATGAAGGCTTACCATTAGGCTGTGATAAGCAAAACGCAGTAGACTTTGAACTATGAAGGAATTCTTTTGTCCTCCTTTCAGCATGTGCTTGGAGCTTTTTAGTTTTTTGCAAATCGAACAGTCCAATGCACATTAAGTACTTTATTCTCTGATCAACAAGAAATGTTTGTTCTTTAAAAGGGACCTATAATTTTTTTGGGCAATTGCAGTTTGTAAACGTAGAACACTGACAAGCTGCTATATCAAAAAGAAAGTGCAATTCTTCTTTAAACTTCTCAACTTGTGCTTTAGTTGTCATACTTTTCTCTATTCTTTTATATACAGACTTGATATCAATATAAGATTTGTGATATGCATCAATCATATCAATTACATGTTTCTTTGAAACTGTCGGAATAGAAGCATCAAAATACAGCAGTTGCAGCTTTTCACAAACGAAATGTGATATGGAAGAAAATGTGGGTTCTTTATTACCAGTTATTTCAGATCCAAGACACCACCTTTCATAAATTAGGCATTTAATAACATCTTCTTTTGTTGGAAGCATCCTGGCAAAATCTGTCGGTGATCCGAAAATTGCGCAGTCTAATGCTTTTCGCTTTGAAAATTTTGAAGAAGATGCCATGTTTTTTTTCTCACTGCTGTTTTCTTTCTTACTAACGACCTGAAGCAATAACTTATAATAAATTATTAGTTGTAAATAATTATTGGTTAATTAAATAATAATGATAATCTGGAAACAAATCTGCTAAAATAATATTTATTACCATGTATGCTTGCATAAAAACCAAGAAAATTTCAAGACAAAATAGCAACTTCAACTTGTGCAATTTTGACTTGTGCAAGGATCACAAAAAATACAAATTAATTTTTTAACTTTAACTTTATAATGTTAACGTACTGTATACTTGCGTATAATGCAAAAAGTTACTGTCTCAAAAGAATAACAATATTAGAAACAGCTGCACTTATTCCAAGTGAAATATGTGCTTGATTTTGAAATCACATTTAAAAAATTGACTTTATAAAAAATATAAGTATAATTGGTATAAGAATTTTGTGGGTAATTGCAGGCTCTTTGCCAGAACAGAACATATTGTCTGTAGGGCGTGAAATTTTGCACAGTAATTAAACATACATAACTGCATTTTTTGCACACTACCACTAAGTGCTGTGACATTTAAAAAATATTTCTAAAAATATATAAATATATAGATATTTTAATAAGTTTTTAAAATTTCATGTCCCTTGCCACAACAGAAGACATTGTACAAGAGTAAGGAAATTTTGCACAGAAGTTACTTATGTGTAGAGAGTTTTCCGCTCTACCCTGAAAGCATTATGAAAAATTTTTCAAGCCCCCCTAATATATATATATATATATATATATATATATATATATATATATATATATATATATATATATATATATATATATATATATATATATATATATATATATATATATATATGTATGTATATATATATATATGTATTATATATATATATATATATATATATATATATATATATATATATATATATATATATATATATATATATATATATATATATATATATATATATATATATATATATATATATTTGCTTGGTTTTACTTAACCTTTCCCTTTATATCTCAACTTTTTTAAAGCTAGTATAGAAGACTGATTTATTTATTTTTAAATTGATCAATTGCATGCCCAAACCAAAACCCTGTTGATGCAGCAGAACTCCATGCACATTTTCCTTATTTAACTCAATCAATGAATATACTCTTTGCATGAATACACTCTTTGCTTGTTCTTCATCTTTAAGTCAGTTAATGTATGTAAACTCCCAGCATATTCTACAATATAGATGTTTATATAGCTGTTTCTCTTCAATATAGTTATTCCTTTACTGGTTTTTCAAAAAAGAAGAAAGCTTATAATGTTTATTGCATTATCATGGGTCCTTTAATTAAAATATTAAAGGATCTAAGATAACAATAAAGAAAAAAAATCTAATATAAACCCAAGATAACACAATTTTGTTTTGATGTAACATTTATATTGTTTTGATAAAATATTTTATAAGCAAGTTTATAAGGGAGTAAGGAGGGGGGGGGTGAAACAACTATTGTAAAAAAGACAATGATTTAATAAATATTTAAATTGTAATTATCAAAATATCATTAAAAGGAACCATCAAATGAAGAATAAATAAAAAAAATTAATAAACTTTCACACAAAAATATAGGGAAAATTAAATAAATCATAGATGTACTGATCAGTAACATTTGTAAAATAAAAACATGCTACACAAACACACACACACACACACACACACACACACACACACACACACACACACACACACACACAGAGACAAATCATTAAATAAAAGCATTTAAAAAAGTATAATAAACGTTCATAATAAACGAAAATATTGAAATAAAGGAAAGATTATTATATTCATTATAATAGCAATTATAATATTATTAACAATAATGAAAATATATATAATATATAAAATATAACAGCACAATTTAAAAACAATAATAATTAAGTAAGCAGATGTTGTACGATACGTGTATGACAAATTAGTAAAAACAAAAATATAATTTTTTGATAATATGTTATAAAGTTATTCAATAAGGTTAGCCTATTTAAATGTAAAATAGTCACATATAAGTTAATATATAAAATAGAAAACAACTTAAAAATTATAAGAAATAAAAGTTAATTACCAAGACTTCACAAGAACTTCGTTTGGTTTTAAATCTTTAAAGTTTGTAGTAATTATTTCACACGCCTTTCTAAAATCAGTGGTAAGAGAAGTAGCAATTACTTTCCTGAATGTTCTGGAAGCCATTTTCATGCAACAGTCAACAAGAGAAAAGAAAGCACTGTTTTATTGTTATTCAGTAGTTGTAGTATGTTGTATTAAAATTTGGAGTAACGATCGCATCTGCTTAGTAGAATTTCTATTAACTCCTAAATATCTTAATTGATACTTAATTGATACTAAATACATCAAAAATATCAATTAAAACGTAATACTAAAATGTATTAAAATAAAAGAGAGCTTCGTTCGACTATCTCGTGCGGGCTGCCGGTTACCACCTATTCACAAGCGCTATCCCACTACTGCTCAATGCGAGAACTTTTGCCTGCTACGTTTCCGTCCTGGGCCAGTACTTTCTTCATTATCGAACCTGGTACATAAGAGACTTCTCTCTAATGACCATGTTGACACTGAGCTTAGCGCGGACGCCTGATCGACATAGACAACTAACTGACAGTGGTCCCGAACCCAAGCCGTTCGAAAGTTCAGCCTCGAAAGTAGCTCGATTACAGGTGCGCGCCACTACACCCGGCTTGTATATAAGTGAAAAATGAATTTATTTATATACACATGAATAAACAAGAGTTCCTTTTGGCTTGAAGTTATTGCAAACTTTTTCCGGTCTTGTATAAACTTGTTAATACTTTTATTACTTGCAACACTAAGACTTAGTGTTGCAAGTAATTGCAAAAACGACTCACAGGTTTAAACTTTAAAATTGGTTTGGTAAAAACAAGATGCGCACATTCAGGTCAAATATTTAAAGCATAACAGGTGTGTTCTCCATAAAAAAATTTGCAAAAAAACCATTTAAAATTTAAAAAAACCTCTAGAAAGACGTTACAACAGAAGGTAAGTAAAAGTTACAATAGAAGAAAAGTATGCCCTTTTAAAAATGTACGCAGTTTTTTGTAGAGAATTTGGAATGTAACTTATTAAAGTAAAGTATAAAGTAAAGTATTAATATAAAATTTGATAATTTGCTCACTGAAATGTCTCAAATTATGTTTGAGTCATTTTAGTGAGCAAATTATTAAAAGTGAGCTATTACAAATCCAACTCAATATGTCGGTAAAGTAATCAACCAACGTTTGCTCAATGAGTTTGAATCAAGACAAATGCAAGTAAATGTTTTTTAATAGACGTCACTGCTAACAGCGCAATACAACTTTAATTTATGATAAATTGAATGGTTTTTACATTCACCTAATAACGACTGAAAAAAAAATTCTTCAATCGTTTTTTAAATAGTCGGACTTCAAATTTCGAAATCTATATCAAACTCGTATGTTGCTCTCGGTATTCCAAAACGCACATTCAAACATTGAGCGCTTGAAATGTTTGGCAACCTTTACTGCTCTCAGGGCCGGCGCGAGTAGGTGTCACGTGGGGGAGAGGGTGCCAAAGGGTAGACATTTGCCGACTAACTGGTCTAAAGGGTCCAATTTGCCGACTAAGTGTCCAATTTGCCGACTAAAAATCATTGATGGGGGTGTCACACCCGTCCCCCCCCACACACACACCCCTATCGCGCCGGCCTTGACAGCTCTTTCTCAAATCCTTATTTAAAGTATTTTTTAGCAGCATGAGGATTCTTTTTATTGGAAAATATGAATTTTCTTGAAGCTGTTCAAAATTGATCTACAAATATTTTTCAATCTCTTTAAAACGTGAAGGTAAAGAACTACCGCTAACAATATCTAATTATTCGCTAATTTACGGCGTTGAAGCCGTAATTTAGCGAATAAGCCGTTTTTGATAATCTCCTATATTGAGTCTAAGGCAGAGATTATAAACTCAACGACTCTGCTAAATAACATCATCACAACATCTATCTTTAAAAAAACTTTTATCAAAAAAGATATACTATAAACGGATATTTCTAATCATTGACATCAATCAAATATTAATAAATTTTTTTAGCAAATTAAGACAAACTTTGAAATTCAGAATAAAAAGATAAAAAAAAGCGTATTTTCGACCACGCTAACGAAGAGCTGCTGTACATACTGTATAAACATTTTCATTTTTTAGACATACGGTTTAAAAAAAATGAAAATGAACTTATTAAAAAACAATTAAGTTATTGAAACAACTTAACACTTAACTTATTGAAAAACAATTAATTTCCACTTATTGAAAAACAATAAGGATTGCAAGGCCGTTTCCACAAGACGAAATATTCGTCTTGTGGAAGATTTCCACTTTCTTTTCTTTAATTTCTTTTGCGCTACTTAGTTTTTTAAAATAAGTTTACGCTGCATGTTTAACTAAAAGCAATTATCACTTTTTTTAGCATACTTTCTACTTTGAAGCATGTGGAAATTTCTTTCTATGCATTAATTTTAACATTTCTATCTTTGTATGTAAAATGTGATATTGTTTTGTAATATATAATTATAATAATTAGTTCAATATAAGTTTTTTTTTTTTTTAAAAAAAATAATAGAAAATAAATGCTAAACTCTGATATGAATATTTATGTTAAAAAACTGTTACTGCAAGAACGAACAGCAGGTTTAACTCTACGTAGGATTTTTTACAAAAAGGTTTACCTTCGTGTGGCCACTTGAAGATAAACATTTTTATGAAGTGTAACTTTCGTAATTTACATTTGTAAATTCTCGATTTAAGTCTTGTTCCTTATTTGATGAATTTCCTCATGTTTGCCAATTTTCCGAGTAAGTTCATATAAAATCAATAAGAACGCCAGGTTAAGAATTTTGATTTTTCGCTTATGGCAATTCGCAACTTGATTGGTTTTCGCTTATGGCAATTCGCGACTTTTTTTTCGCTGCAGGGAAAAAAAATCAAAATAATTACCAAAAATGTTTTATCTGCGCATGCTTATCCACGAAAAAATTCGCTTCGCGCAAATATTCCGTTTTGTGCCTTAAGAGGTTTCTTTAATAATATTTTTTGATTTTTTTTTTTTTTTTAATTTTTTGTTCTTTAATCTTAACAAATTCGTAATATATAATATAATCGTTCACAGAGTATAGTATAATTTTTAAAAAAATATATGTTTCACAAAAAATGAATAAAATAAACTGTAACGTATTAAAAATTACATTAAAGAACGCGGGAAACTTGTAGAAGGCTAATATAATAGTCTTGTCATCAAGAAATCGCTAAGCGTTTATAATATTTTTAAATACTTCAATTTAAAATAAGTTTATATTTAAAAAATAATGTTATGATTTCGGCAGAAAAAAATAAAAATGCAAAATGCAAAAAATAAAAACAAAGAATGTAGACAAAAAGTTTTTAATTTTTTTTATTTTATTACAATACACATAAATATAAGTAGGTACACGATTTGCTAAATAGGTAATAAAGTTCATGTGTTGATAAATAAGCATATTATTTATTATTATTTTTTGTTGTTGTTGTTTTTGAGTAACTTAAAGTTTTTTAGAGTTATTAGAGATTACATTGGTTTTGGAGAAGTTAGTTTTATACCTAGTTTGAAATGTCTTTAGGTTAATAAAAATTCATAAAGTTGTTAGTGTTTAAAGTAAGATTTAATAACGTTTTCAGAGAATTTAAGGTATTCGATTTTTCCAGTTAAGCGTTTTTGGATATTAATTTGTTATATAGACAAGGACCACGGTACGAAATAGAAAAGCGCGAGAGATTTGTTTTTTTTAAAGGTACGTTGAAATTTCCGGTTCCTCTGGTATGGTATCTGTTTTTGCTATTTTGAAAGAAATTCTTTAAAAAGTGAAAAGGAACAAGTGCAAGTTTATATTTGAGCATAAACAACAAATTTTAGAATATATTGATTTGATATACATTTAATGCTTTTAAATTTTTTAAAAGGGTTCAGCTTGTGAGAATCTACCCTTCTTAAAAACTAATCTAGCAGCATGCTTTTGTTTCCGATATATTGTGGTTTGTTTGGGTTTATGAGTACTCCCCCATACAACATTAGCGTATATGTAGAAGCTTTGTATGAACGAGAAGTATAGGAGCTTTAAATTATCAGGAGACAGTATAGAACTAGCTTTGTAAAGGATACCTATGTTTTTTGATATTTTGGTAATTAATATATCTATATGTGATTTCCGTGAGATGTTCTCATCAATAAGTATCCCTAGAAATTTAGTTGCTTAGGTTCAATCTATTTCTTTAGTATCTATATTTAGCGAAGATAAATCGGGAGGTATTTTTATATGATTAGAATGAAAAAGAATGTATTTGGTTTTTTCTGTGTTTAGCGATAATTTGTTAGATTTTAACCAACTGTTTATTTTTTCAAGTTCAGAATTTGTAGTTTCATACAGTTCTGTAATAGATGAGGATGCATAAAATAAATTAGTGTCGTCTGCGAACATTATGACATCCAATTTACTTGAGGCTTTTGGAAGTTTGTTTATGTATATATTAAAAACAAAAGAAGTGCAAGAATGGAACCTTGGGGGGCACCGCATTTTATTTTGAGTAATTTTGAAATTTTTTTTTCATGAGCAATAACGCATTGTTTTCTGTCTAGTAAAAAGTTTTTGAACCAGTTTAGCGCAACACCTTTTATCCCATATTTTTCCATTTTCCTAATTAAGATAGCGTAATCAACTGTGTCAAACGCCTTAGATAAATCAACAAAGACTCCAAGGACGTATTTTTTGTTTTTAAAGGAGTCATATTATTTATAAGATCAAGAAAAGTGTGTTCGGTTGAATGTTGTTTCTGGAATCCAAACTGTTTTTCATTTAGGATTTTGTTATTTGTTAGATATTTATACAGTTTACTGTATATTACTCTCTTCAAAAGTTTTGAAAACACTGAAAGAACTGAGATCTGTAATTGTTTAGTGTAAATGAATCCCCGGTTTTTATATTGGTATTACCTTAGCTATTCTTAATTTGTTCGGTACAGATCCTGTAATAATTGAGGATTTAAATATTTCATAGATTGGTTGTTTTATCACCGGAAACACATTTACAACTATCTAGCTACAAATGTCGTCTATCCCAGGATCCTTATTCGTCTTAAGCGAGTTTTTTGCAATTTCTAGTTCTTCAAGATTTAGTGCAGAGAAAATATTTAAACATAAATTTTGGTTTGTGATATAGGTTTCCAAGGAGATATCAGGGCATTAAATTTTTGAAGCCATATTAGGGCCTATGTTTGCAAAAATTCTACTGAAATTTTCAGCAATAGAAATTTTGTCGATATATTCAGTTTCATTAACAATAATTTTATCGAGTAAATTAATTGATTTTGTATGGTTTTTACCTATTATTTCCTTCAATATGTTCCAGGTTTTTTTAATATCACTTTTGCTTTTATGTAGTTGTTTTGAATAATATATATTTTTTGAGTTCTTTCTAATTTTTTCAAATAGATTTTTGTACTTTTTGTATGTAGTTAAGTTAGTTTCGTTTCTGTTTTTTAAATACTTGATATAGAGTTTTTGCTTTGTTGTTGATGATTTTCTAATCCCGTTAGTTACCCATGGACAGTTTAAATACTTTAGCTTTATTTCTTTCTCTTCAACAGGGAAATGTTTATTGTAATGATCTAGAAAATATTTATAAATAAATTTTATGCAGAGTTTGTGTGTCCAAGATTACATTCTTGATACACTCCATCCCAATTTACTACCGATAGCGAGTCTTTAAAATTTTTAATAAAGAACTGATTGATTTTTCTTTTATAAATTTTGGTTTTAGGATTGTTATAGGTTCTTAAATCTTGAGAAAATGAAAAATAAATAGGAAAATGATCTGATATATCGATTTTGATAATTCCTACTTTTAAAAAGGTTTCTAGAAATGTATTTGTTAATATATTGTCTATAGCAGAAACGGAGTTTGGGGTTACGCGGGTTGAAACAGATTATCAAAAAAGAGTTTAGTAATTGCATTTTCTTTGTATTTTAGACTGTTAATATTTAAATCCCCTAAAAAGAAAGTATTTTTTCCCTTATCATTTATTTTGAGAAAGATTTCGTTTAAAAAATTTGAAAATTTAATTATATCACCCTGGAGGTTTATAGCAAGTGGAAATTATAATATTGTTTGATTTATTACCCGTTATCTAAATAGTAAAGACTTCGCTATCAGTATCAGAGATGGAGAGGTCATGTCTTACTGATGATGTAATAAAATTTAAAGTTAAAAAAAGCCTAATAAATGATTAGTTTGTTTGTTGAATGTTAAAACACAGAATGAAAGACAATACCAGACGAGAAATGCAATTTCATATGAGAATTAATTAAAGTAACGATAGCAAATGAGAAATTAAATTACGGAAGCGATACTAGACAATTAATTAAATTAAAACAACCATACTATTTGAAACATTAAATGAGAAATATGATATCATACAATACCACACAATCCTTCAGAATTTCTATTAAGCTGTATGAGTCAATTATACAGGGGAGAGTGGGGAGAGGTAGAATACGGGAGAAGTCAAAAATCTCACATAGGAGAGATCTTTAATCAATGTTATTTAATATAAACAATTAGTTTTTCCCCATCGATTAAGCAAATATTATTTTGTCTCCCTGCACGCACACTTTTGAAAAGTACCCCCAAAAAACAATTTTTTAAGGGGTTAAATAAGATCAAGAAAACTAACTGATCTCCTATTTCTCCTATATAACTTTTAAGTAATTATGGAAAAATCTTGAATATTTTGATGAAGATTGCGTGGTTTACAATTTTAATATTTTTAATACAATTTCATTTTTTTAATACAATACAATAACACTATTTCAATAGTTTTTAATTAATAGTTTTTATTAATATGCTGTTAATTACTCGCTTATCCTACTTCACCGCATGGCTATCCCACTTCACTCCAATGAAAAGGTTCCTTTTATATCAAAAGTTATATATACTTTGTTATAAACTACAGTCAATCTTAGGGGATGGAATCAGTGTCCGAAATGATGCTTTATTTGTAAAAACTTATTGGTGCAGTACATACATTATATAAAAAAAAAATTAAAATTATTCTAGAAATATTTTTAACTAACAAAATATTTTCCTACATTTCCTAACTCTCCCCTACATTTCAGTCATTATATAAATCTACTATTTCAGATTACTAATCGTTAATAAAAATAAAAAAAAGTTCTCATGAAGACCTGAGATGCTCATCAATTGATACTATCGGTACCAAACAATACCAACATACATTCCAAACTGATATTTAAAATTAACATACCAATATTTTTAATACCAGTATTGCGTGATCACGATAGCAATACTGTAAGGTATCGCACCGATACCAGATGATAAATCGAGACTCGATACTGATTACCTAGTGTCTAATAATTATTGCTGCTGCATGCAGACATCAATACAAACATCATTTAAGAGAACCTTTCTTTTTTTTTAATTTTATTACATTTATTATGCTGATTTTCTGATTTGTGAAAGACGATGAGTCCAAAAAATTAAACTTCCGTGGGGCCAAAAAAGTCTCCTTGGATTACTAATGAGTTTAAAAACTTAAAAAAAAATCAAAAACAAAACAAAAGATGAACATAATATACTTTCCACCTCTCTGCTTTTCTACGGGAAAAAAAAAAGGAAAGAAAACATAATTGCGTGAGCATTTTTATTTTTGCTTTTGGATCGTCCATAAACTACCCAAAGCAAAATATATTTAAAAAACAGAAGTAAGAGATAATAAGCTCTTTTACGCGGCGATTTTCATTAAACTTAATGAGCTATTTTGATTTTTAATTTAAATTAAAACTCCGCGAGGGAAAACTTTTAAACTTTTTTGTTTTATTTATTGTGTTGCGTAATTTATAGACTATCCCTTTGGAAAAACAAAATTTAAACACGTATGCTCACGTGATTAGTTTTTGTAACAATCGAGGTATGAACTTCCCAGTTAAATGCTCTTCCGCGGTTTTCAGTGACGATACTGTTAGATCTTCTTTGAGCACCTAAAACAAAATTAATATATATATATATATATATATATATATATATATATATATATATATATATATATATTATATATATATATATATATATATATATATATATATATATATATATATATATATATAAACAAAACAAAACGAATTTTTTTTTGATTCAATCGCCTAAAAAAGTTCTCTACCCAGAAACCTGTCACTTTGCCTGTTTTCATAAATATAAAAAAAAGTACTCTCAATTATTAATACCCTCAATTAACAACACCCTCAAATAATAATATTCTAAATTCATGTTGTTATACAAAACTGTTAAAGGTGATCAAATTCCTTTGAAATTACCTATTCTCTTTATGAATAAGATATTAAAAAGTGAGTCAATCAATAATTTTCTTGGGGCGATGTTAGATGAAAACCTATCAAGGAAATTTTATAAAAAACCTATTGAAAAAAAAATTTCGAAAAAATTTTTTTTAAAGCTTTATAAAGTAAACCGATTTCTAAATATTTTTTTTAAATGTTTTTATTTAAACATAGTTTTCTAACATATTTCTAAATAATTTTTTTTAAATGTATACTTTTTATTTAAACATAGTTTTCTAACATATTTCTAAATACTGAATTTTTTTTTAAATGTATACTTTTTATTTAAACATAGTTTTCTAACATATTTCTAAATAATGAATTTTTTTTAAATGTATAATTTTTATTTAAACATAGTTTTCTAACATATTTCTAAATACTGATTTTTTTTTTAATGTATACTTTTTGTGAAGGTTCATTATTTCCAAAAAAGACATTTTTTTCCTTGAGTCTTTTAGTGGGTTGGAAGAAGTATAGTCTACACTATAGAACTATTGTTCTATACTATAGAACAAAAACTAATCTTTAAAGCATGTTGAGTCAAACCAACCACTCTTCGATTAGTTATAAAGTGCTTTTGGTGGCTATTTTTCATCTATGTACTCTATAACCTTTCCGCTTTGAAAACAATATATGGTGGTACCAATTCTCTTTCGCCATTACCACAAAGCATCACAGAGTACTAGGTTTTCGTGAAATTAATTACGTGTTTAGAATACTTACATCCATGCTTTGTTGCATTTTCTTTTTTTTTTACATACTCGCATTTTTTTTTGTTTTTTTATAAATTTTAGTAAACAAAAAAATGCATACAAGGTTGGTCTGACTTGAAAAAACGGCCCGGGAAATTTGGTCATGGCGGCCCACCTCATATTATGTTTTATTTATTTATTGTTATTTTATTTTTTTCTTTTCAACCTAAATATTGATAAAAAAATATATATATTTCTAAAACGCTGCTGTAAGTTGAAGTCTATAAATAGTAGACACAATCGCAATTCACTACTGACTAGTATAGTAACTTTTTCATCGTTTGGTTAGTCGATGCTAAAACATCAATCATTGCATTGTTATTAATTCTTGTAAGAAGGTCTTTTTCAGTTTCAAATTCTACGGATTTAGATTGTCAGATGTTGTCCGAGACAGAGTTAGATACTTCCGTGTCAAACAGCAAATTATACTCATCTTCAAGAGATGTTTTGAAACATTTCCTTGCAAAGTACAACAATTCGGTTTGAAGCTGGTCTATTGTTACACAAGCATCAAACTTTCTGAGCAACCCACTTAGGTGCTGTAGTGCGTCACTGGGTATTTTTTCAAAATTTCTTGGATCCAAACAAAATGAATAAGCATATATGCTCATTTATTTTGTTTGGATCCATGCTCAGATAATCTCTGTTTTAAACTACTAATTATTTGAATTATGACTATGCACAGTGGTCTGAAAAACTTGATATTTGGCCAAAATTAAGATTTTGGTGTTTTTATACTAAATCGATAATGATGAATCCAAATCTGAAAACAATTTTTGATTTAAAGGTTTTGTTGTTCAGATATCGCATAAGCGGTCGAGTCAAGAATTTCACAAAAAGTTTTCATTTTTTTGCTTGTGATGGATTGTGTGTAAATTCTTTACAAATAAAACTTTTATAAATTCTCTTCAGAACAATTCAAAAAAGAATTTAAACAGTTTTTATTAGAAAGAGAATTTGTTTTTAAATATTTATTTTAAATAAGTGTACACTTGAAAAATACACTGGAAAAGTCATCATTACTCACTTATTTTTGTCTTGATTTTATTTATTTTAAGATTTTACTTAAACCTTATACTGGTGTTTACTTATATATGATTGTTTTTCACATTTGTAATATCTGTATTTAATTAGTGTATTTTATCTTTTTTGTAATATAAACTGACGGCGACAATGTAAACAAAACCTGGTGATAAGGCTACATGTCTTCTTTTTGTTCCGGCCATTTATTATATATGTAAACAACCTTATTGTAAATATTTATCTTATTTTTACAGCATAAAAAAAAACTTTTGATAGTAACTATCTAAATATCTATATAATAATGCTGAAATTAATAGTAGTAGTAGTAGTAGTAGTAGTAGTAGTAGTAGTTGTAGTAGTTGTAGTAGTTAGACACAGAACTCTTGGCATCCATTGCAACCGAGGTAAATATCTAACTTATGTAAACTATAAACTATGTAACATATATAAAGTTTTACAGTTTTACTTTAACTTAAAAATTGTATTGCGGCAACATCTCTTTATTTTGTGTCTATAGCAATTATTTCCGTTTTATGAAGTCTTTTGTTTGTTAAATAGTTTTAAAGCCTACTTCAGACAACACACCTGTGTGGCCGAGTGGTTATCTCGCAGAGTTACTAAAGCAAAGCGCCGTGGTTTGTATCCTACCACTGGAACTTTCTTTTTATTTTACTATTTTTTTTTTTAATACCAAGTAAAACATTTTTGAAGTTTTATAGATATCATATACTTAACATATATAAAGATATTATACAATGTAAAAAAGCAAAAGAAAGAGAATTTTTTTAAATAGCTTAAAATTTCTAAAAATATATAAAAACCCTGGGAGAAACTTGTTGCGCAATGCCAAGTTGTTATTAATGTGCTCAGATAATTAGTCCTAATAAGCTGCGGATGGTCTGAAAAAAAAATTATGGTCTGAAACTTGGAAAAAAAAGAAAAAAAAAATAAGTTCGTCCTGCTGCTCCAGAATGTTGTGGAGGCAAAAAATATTAGCCCGTAGCTAAAAAATTTTAAAACTTTATTTTAATAATTAAAAGTCTTTTTTGCTATATTCATTTTTTGCTATAAATATATACGCCCAGATTGAAAAAAAAATGAAATTGTTTTGTATTAAGGGGCAGGTTATACATACCTAGCTCCCCAGTACCCGTTTTTCTGGCCTCTTTTGCTTTGAAAGTGAATGGTTGAAATTTTATTTTCTAAGCCTAAATTTCGAAAAATGCCGCGAGAAATGGTATGCAATTGCCATCTATGTTATAGATGCTTATGAAGTGTTTACACAATCAATAAGGTTAATCTGTGCATCTATGGCAATAAAATAACGATTTTCTATTTATTTATTTGATATTTCTTTTTAATATTTTATCTACTCATTACTCTCACATTTGGAATAGACACAGCTAACATTTACGAATAGTGTAGTTCCCAAACTTAATCACCGTATTTTTTGGCAAAACATTTTTATTTGACATTAGTATAAACATACCTAAATTAGGAGTTTTCATAATTCTAAAAGTGCCACATCTGAAGCATGAAATTTTTTTTCAGCAATCAGTTAAACAAAATTGTGCACTCAATGCAACTGAGGGAAAAAACAAACAAACTCATAAAATAAAAAAAAGCCGATAATTTTAAACAAATCTGATTGGTTGTTAGTGGCAATCCGAAAAACTTTTTATTTATTGGTATTTAATTTATGCAAACAAAGATTTCGTTAATAACGACAAAATATTATAAACAACCGAAGCGTCTGTTATAACAGATTTGCAGGAGATATATCAATATAATTATAAAGATATCTTGAAGTGTTTGTTTGACATAATTTATAAAAAAAATATTGGTGATTTTTACATGGAGCTGAGCCTGAGTTATAAAAAAACAAAATTTTTTGTCAGAATTTAATTTTTATCCAATTATTTTGTGTAATATGTCATGTGGTCCTTATTGTAGAGTATGATAAGTTACTTTAAAACAATACTTCTAAACGATGTAACAATGTCAATGATTGATTAAGGAATTGTCCATAAAGTACGTAAACTTTTTCTTTTATCCTCCATCCCCACCCACCCACCCACCCCCTATCCTGCATTTTGCTTTACACTTTTTTGAGTACCCTCCACCTCCCTAAAAGTACCTACCCTTTTAACCTGCCTACTTAACATTTTGTGATATTTTTTTTAATTTAGTGTCTCCTTACTTTCATAATTGACCCCTCTCCCCCATTCGAGCGTACTTTATGTACAATCCTTTATGCATGTACTTTATGGACAATCCTTAACGAAAAAATACTTTACATATGTGTTAAATCACATGATTTGTTTTTATGTTTTTAATTAGTTGAAAAATTTTTAAAATAGATTTAAACATGTGAGTTCAAAATAAAATTAGGAAAAGACTTTAAACGTTGTTTTTTTTATATATTATTGATATTATTTTTGTTTATACTATCTTTTTTATTATTTCTCTTATCTTTAAAATTTGTCATTTACTTTATTCTCATAGTTTGTATAAAATAGCTTCAAACTCAAACAATCATATGAGGTTTATAGATAAGCATTTTTAATTGATAAAACTACAAAGCTTGTTACATGTAAGATTAAAGAAAAGTTAAATGATAAAGTGATTTCATGCGCCATGCATATAAAAAAATCAAAAGTTTACAATATGAAAGGGTATTTGGAAAAATCACATATAAAGTTGTTGAATCTGAAATGAGCCTTATGGGCCAAAGAAAATCTTTAAAATCATTTTATCACATTCACAAGATTTCAATTCTAAAAAAAACTAAACTGATTACTTTAGATTCTTTTGTTATCATTAGTAGTTGAAATTAGTGCTAAAACTTTTAAAATTGGAATTATTAAAATGGTAGTGAATAACGGAGTTCTGTTTGAAAACATTTGCGGGTGAAGGAGTTCAATTGGTTACAGGTCAATTAGTTAAAACTCTTGAATTCAGTACTGGACACAATTCTGTACGCTATTTGAATAATGAATTTGCTGAAAAAAAGAAGGCTGAAATAAAAGAAATATTGTTACAGAAATTTATTTATGTGAAAATAGATGCAGCCACTCGACACCAATATAGCTATTTGGAAATAAATATTCAATATTATTATGCGAAAAAAAATTTAAACCCTGTTGCTATCAAAAAAATGGAGGATACTCTATATAGATTTGTTATCAGCAATGATCAAATAGTATGTGCAAATGAAAACAATGCAGACAGTATGATTAGAGCAATCACAATTTTAAAAAATTATTCAGGTGATGAAAACTTTTGAGATGAAGCTTTGCATGATTAAGAACAAGTGGAATTTATACAACAGGATACAAATAAAGAATAAGTTGAAGAAGCTCAAGAAAAAAATCTAGCTTTTATCAATCCAGAATGTTGTCAACAATTGTCTACTGATATTAAGTTGATGCGCTGTGTTAATCACAATTTGCAGCTAGCTATTCGTATGATTGAAAAAAAGGCATACATTGCCTAATTTTTGGCAAAAGCCCGTTATGTTGTAAAGAAACTATGAAACTTACATACAATATTTTTAGCAAGGAAGCAATATAAAATTGTTTTAATTTTGGATAATGAGACACACTGGGGTTCTACATTCCGGATAATTGATAGATTATTACTTTTGCATCCACTGTGTGAGCAACTTGCTGTTGTTGATCAAATATTCTTTGTACGAGCTGAAATATGGGAAATAGGGGTTAGGGTTAGGGGTTAGGGTTAGTTTTGTTGTGTTACACCACGTGTAACCTTGGAACTAGACTGAGCAGTAAGTATGTAGTAAAAGAATGAAGAACAAAGTGAGGACTTAGTGTCAGTAAGCAGGTAGAGAATAATAATATAGTAGAAGTGTAGAGCAATAAAGGAGGACTATAAAAAATTATAAGTAAATAGAATAATAATGGTAGGAGTTTAAACAGGTTATATAATATAGTAAAGTGAGAAGTATGCATAAAGGTGTGGTGTATGTGTGCAAAGGGTGTGTCAGAAATGAGTCGTTGCTCACTAGTCCACTTGGTCCCCATAGTGATATGGGGCCGAATATATAGGGTTAGTTTTGTTGTGTTACACCACGTGTAACCTTGGAACTAGACTGAGCAGTGAGTACATAAGGAAGATTAGGAGGACAAAGTGAGGACTTAGTGTCAGTGTAAAAATAAAGAGTAATAATAACAGGAGAGAGGAAGTGCAAGAGAATAGTGTATAAAATACAGAGGTAAACTAATAATAATCATAATAATAAGAGTGAGTATGGTGTAATGTATTTGAGTGTATGTGTGTGTGGAAGTATGAATAGACTTGCGTAGCTGTGTACGTGTATGTGTAAGTGTAGTCAGTGACGTGTATCGCTGGTAAGGTGAGTGTTGTGATGTGTAATGTGTTAATGAGAGGGGGGGGGTCAGTGTGGCTTTAGAGTGCATGAATACTATGGTGTGGTACAGGTATTAATGACTTCTATTAGATGTACGGGAATGGAGGTATCGTACAAGTACTCTATAGGGCGGCAGTGGTAAGGCACACAAGATGTATATAGGATCTGTGTGAATTACTTAACGCCATAAGGGTGTAAGAGGTACATCAGGCCGTGTGGAATCTGCACCTCCCCGCACATGAGTGAGGGGAGAACAGATGCCCCCACGAGCCGTGTGATCAGGTAAGTGTGGGATATGGAGGAATGGGGTAGTGGGGTCAGGGTTAGTGTGGACTCGTAGGATAAGTATATAGTACTATCCTAACCGTGTACCACATCCCTGTCATAACTTGGCGAAGAAGTACGATGGGGTAAGGGTGGAAGCGCGCAGTATATAAGTAGAGTGGGGTCATGTAAAAGTCAAAAAGTGTAACTACGACGTCCCTTCATCTCATCAGGGCCATGTCAGGACGTCAGGGCTGTTTCGAAGAAGTTGGTACCAACAACTCCATGGCCTACAGCCCCGAGTTACTGTGAAAAATAAACAGCATGACTCCATCCTACTTATGTGTTAGGGAGCTTAGTAAGAGGTGATACGGTAGTAAAGAAATAGGACTTAAATCCTAAGTGGACTTGTGGATAGGTAGTAAAATAAATAAAAAATAAATCAATAAATAAAAAATGAAAGAAATGACACAAAATGTAGGCTTACCATTTCCATGATAACATCGGTGCAAGGATGTGTGTTTTGGGATTCGTTTAAGTCGATGGAGAGTAAATTTCGGTCACTTATCTCCGGCTCAAGTATCGCCGTATTTATGTTTAAAAGCGCTATGTCGCTCATTTCAGGTAAAAATGCATCTAAGTCTAAGTTTAGGAGATCATTATCACTAACATCTAACGGCATTTTGAGATATACGTCCACTAGGTATAGCCAGAATAGAACTTTATGTACATAGATTATTTACAATGATAAACCAAGCTATTTCTTCTTAATGTAAAAACATCCCATATGTAAAACTATTTATAATGGTGTATCAGCTAACTTCTTCCTTAAATTAAAATACTCTATATACACTTCTCAGCAATTTTAAAATAAATATTTCCTGCTTGGTGTCTAATACTTTATGCAGTCGTGATACATAACTCTATCTGTTTTCTGTTTTATTTCTACAATACATGTCTTGTTCCTAATCCGTTCGCGTACCTTTCCGATAGGTCAATTTTGAGAACATAGCGCCAAAATTAAATTGGTTGTTTCCATGTTTGTCCGGAAACTTGGGAATAAGTCGGATTTGTTATTTTTAAGGGCATAGCGTAAAACACAGCCCCGCACCAGTCACCGTGGTTCGGTTGGTGCAAGATAAAGTCCCATATGCCGTTGTGAAGGCCGAGAATACGAGCAGGTGTGGTAGGAAGCGCAAATAGGTGCTAGTGCTCAAGTAGGGATTGGTGCCGTGAAGTGCGCAAATGCCCAATGAGAACAGTGGCGAATGGTATAGCAGAGTGCGTACACGTAGGTAGAAACCACTAGGGATGGGCGTGGTAGTGTAGACATACGTCGACTGACCGTAGTAGGGACACCCGCCGTGGAGTGAACTCGTTAGCGCGAAGGGTTTGGTTGGGGCAGGTCGTCTACAGAAACCCTACCATGTAAGATAACTATGTAAACGCCATAAGTAGGTAACGGTGCAGTAATGTAAATGTAGCTTGACCCAATCAGGGGTTGGCACTGTGGAGTGTACATACATAGACCTAGGGATGTGCGCGGTTGGGGCAGGTCGTCTACAGAAACCCTACCATGTAAGATAACTATGTAAACGCCATAAGTAGGTAACGGTGCAGTAATGTAAATGTAGCTTGACCCAATCAGGGGTTGGCACTGTGGAGTGTACATACATAGACCTAGGGATGTGCGCGGTAGAATGGACATACATCGACTGACCTCAGTAGGGACACATGCAGTGGAGTGAATACGTTAGCGCGAGGGTTTGGTTGGGGTAGGTCGTCTTCCAGCAACCCTACGTGTCAGCTGTGTATGTAAACGACATAGGTCCGGAAAGGTGTAGTGATGCATCTGTAACTTGATCCCAATAGGTGTTGGTGTTGCGGAGTGTCCATCCATAGACCCGTTTGGCTAGGTACAGGCGCTGCAGAGTGTACATGCATCGACTGACTCAAATAGGATAAGGCGCAACAAAATTATGTAGCCAAAATCAAATGGTTATGGTAAGTGCAGGTAGTAGAGAGACTTCGCATGCCTGTTAAATAAACATATAACCTGAATAGGGATAGGCGCGGTAGAATGGATATACATCGACTGACCGCAGTAGGGACACATGCAGTGGAGTGAATTCGTTAGCGCTAAGGGTATGGTTGGGGTAGGCCTTCTTCAGAAATCCTCCATGTGAACTATGTATGTAAATGACAAAGGTCAGGAAAGGTGTAGTGATGCATATGTAACTTGATCCAAATGGGTGTTAGTGTTGCGGAGTGTTCATCCATAGATCCGCTTGGCTAGGTACAGGCGTTGCAGAGTGTTCATGCATCGACTGACTCAAATAGGATAAGGCGCAACAAGATTGTGTAGTCCAAACCAAATGGTTATGGTAAATATAAGTAATAGAGAGACTCCGCATGCCTGTTAAATAAACATATGACCTGAATAGGGATAGGCGCAGCGGAGTGTGCATACGTAGGCTAGCTCAAGATAGGGATAGGAGCAGTAGGGTATGAATGCATAGGTAAACTAAAATTAGGATAAGCGCTGTGGAGTGTGTACGCATTGGGGCACTGAATAAGGAACCGTGCGGAGTTAGGCTTGTATGCCGGCTGAGATAAGGATAGGCGCAGCAGGGTGTATATAGAAATAAATCGACCCGAGTCAGGGTAAGGCTCAGTAGGACCCATGAAGACCGAATAACGTGGGGTAATTGGGGTTATATTGAATGTGGTAAGTAGTCAATGGAGGTACTAAAGGGGCAAAACCAAAAAAAAAAAAAAAGAAACCATTGAAGAGTGTAAAAGATTATGTATATAAGAAATATTTTTTTCAAGAAATTATGTATGTACAACTAGGTAATCTTCAAACCCATTCGCGTTTCCTGTCTCGTTCCATTTTGATTACCCCTTTCGTGTGTCTATGTTGTCACGTGTAATCGACGTGGAGGTAGAGGTATGGGTGAGGATGTTGCTGAAGGTTTGTGTTATCGTATGTGTTGGTGTAGGTTTATTCTTAAATATTGTATTCGTAGTGGGGTCTTCCACAATTGTTTTCCAATTCTTAGTGATCGCCTTGTTAATTTGTCTCCCCAGAGTACTGAATGGTGTTATGATTGGGAATACATCGTCCTCCTTTTTCTTGGTGCGGTCCTGGGTTGTGTTCACTAGTGTCCACTGGTTTCGTTTCATGGCCTTGTGGAATTGTTCATTTATGTCCTTGATACTATATCCTCTCAATATCAGTATTCTAGCGAGGGCTTTTAATTCTTTGTCCAGGTCTTCTTGGTTGGAGATGAGGCGGTTATATCGGAGGGCTTGGGAGTATATGATGCCTATTTTGGTGTGGAGCGGATGGTGTGAGGCAAAATCTAATAAGCAAAGTGTGTCAGTTGGTTTCCTGTATAGTGTGGTGTAGAGTAAATTGTCGTTCCCTTTGAATAAGATAATGTCCATAAAGTGGACGCTTTGGTTTGAGTATTCCGACGTGAATTTAATGTTGGGGTGGATATTGTTTAGGAAATGGAGAGTTTCTAGGAGGTCCGGTTCAGTTCCTTCAAAGATAAAAAAGATGTCGTCAATGAACCGTTTATAGAAGGGGATCTTGTCTCTGTATTTGTTGTTGAAGGTTGTATCAATTCTATTCATAAAGATGTTAGCGTAGGGTGGAGCAAATCTAGTTCCCATGGAGGTGCCACTGGTTTGATGAAAGTATCTGTTATTCCACTCAAAGTAACTGTTAGATAGGATTGTTTCAATTAGCATTTGTAGGTATGTTGAAGGAAAGCAGTGGGAAGGTTTCGCAGTAGTCGGTGTTCCATCCAAAAGTTCAACTACTGCTTCCATGCCGTCCTGGTGTGGTATCATTGTATATAAGGATGTGACATCTGATGTTACTAGCCAGAAGGAGTCTGTGGTTGCTCTGTAACTTTGCAATTGTTTTAGGAATTGGGTGGTGTCTTTGAAATAAGCTGGGGTAGATTCTGCTATGGGTTGTAGAAATTGGGTGATTAAGGCTGAAAGTGGGTCCATTGGTCCTCCGCACGCAGAAACTATGGGTCTTAATGGTGTGCCCGTCTTGTGTATTTTGGGGAGGCCATAGAATTTGGGTAAACGATGTGGTGGTTGTGGTCGAATTTTGTTGCCAGTTTGGGTGTTGATTATTGATTTTGAGATGAGAAGGTCAACCACTGTGTTGACCGCGTGGATCATTTGGGGTAGTGGGTTGGAAGCAATCTCTCTGTAGGTGGTGTTGTCCTCAAGCATTTCCAGTACTTTGTTGTTATATTCCTCTGTATCGAGTATACAAATTCCCCCTCCTTTGTCCGTCATTTTGATTGTGATGTTTTTGTTGCTTCCTAGTTTCTTGAGCATCTTTCTTTCTGAGTTAGTTAGGTTGTTACGTTCCCGGATGCGGTGGTTGTTTGTCATGATCTTTTTAGTATCGTTATCAATTTTATTAAAATATGTGTTAATGGTTTTGTTATGTGGTGTAGGGGGATTCCATGTAGACGTGGATTTTAGTGAGGGGTAATTATTCGGTTGGGTTTTTTTGTTTCTGAAGTACCATTTCAGTTTGAGGCGGCGTTTGAATTTTTCTATTTCTTTCATGTAGTCCTCCATGTTGTGTGGTCTGAAGGTTGGGGCGAATGATAGGCCCTTGGTTAATAGGTGTTCTTCTTCGTGTGATAGTTTTATCTTGGATATGTTTGTAATAAGACTTTTAGCGTAAAGAGAGCGGTGTAATTTTAATTCCTTTTTTATTCGTGATTGGTATTCTTTTTTGGGGAGATTGTGTGAATTAATATCGAATATGTTCATCATGTTCAATTGTGTGTAAGTTCTGGATATATCGCATGGTGTATAAGTACCATCATTGGCGTCCTAATAAGGGGAAAGGGGATAAACTGTCAACATTGAGTTTGTAAGTGAGGAATGTGGGATGTGTGTCGGTATATGGTACTCCAGAAGAACGTTCTTCTGGAGTAATGTCAATTAACTGTAACATCATGTGGGTTTTTAAGAGTACTCCTAAAGAAATAGTTGATATTGAAATCTAATCTAGAGAAGAATCAAGGACTATTTGCAGAAGACATTTCAAAATCTATGCCAAAAGTATAATAAAAAGTCAAGAAATAAGAAATACTGCCCTGCTATCTACATCTGCTATCTACTTATTTCATTTTTAATTGAATCTAATTCCGATAAAGAAGAGGATGAGTTTGAAGCTTCATAAAAAAGGAAAAAAGGAGAAGTATGACTAAAGTTAATTTTGGTCACTCTTCTTTTTTTTTAATTTTCTTGATATACTTTTAAAACAAATTTGGACGACTGTAGGATAATGATACTCCAAAAGAATATAAGAAGCGTGCAGAGTTGTCATTTGTATACCTATCTCACAAGCAAGTGTAGAAAGGCTATTTTCTGCTCTTACGTTTGTATTGAGTAATCTGCATTCTTCACTAAAACCTGATATCTTATTTTTATTTTGAAAGTTAAATAAAAATGTTGATTTATTTTTAAGGATAAATCAAGATTTTTATTACAAAATATTAAGTTACAGTCATAAAACATTTTAAAAAAATTTTGAATTGTTTTTTTTGCGGAGCCGCTCCGGAGCTGCTCTGGAGCTGGAGTCGGAGCTAGAGCCAAATATTTTAATGAAGCTGGAGCCTGGAACCGGAGCCAATTTTTAGACCTTGGTTCTAAAGCCCTGATTGTAATTTATATTTTTATTCGGAAAAACGTGTACCATGCCTTAGTTACATTGAGCAATACTGCGGGATTATGCAAGACATTTTTTAAATTTAACTTTAAAAGTAAAGGTTACAAAAAAAAATTCACTAAAATTGCTATCTTAATACTCTGATACCTTTTTTAAAACTCATACAATAATCTCTTA